AAGAGCCAACTGTCAAAGCTGAAGACTGAGTGTGGCAACATCGTTTCCGAGACACCTGAGAGTCTGAGTGAGATTGAGAGGTTCTATAGACAGCTGTACACATCATCGTTGGAGCCACACGCAAGTGTGAGTAACGATCCAAGAGCAAGTCTTATCCGACACTATTCCGATGATATCCCGGACGTCAGTCTGAGCGAGATTAGAATGGCTCTCCAGCACCTTAAAAACGGCAGGGCCCTACAGAAACCAAACCTCACCGAGAACTACCCCAGGATCCCGGGCCCCGGGCGAGGATGGAATTACAGCGGAGCTTCTGAAAGCGGGTGGAACACCGGTACTTGAAGTCCTTCAGAAGCTCTTCAATTCCGTCCTCCATGGTGGCACTACTCCGGAGGCGTGGAGCAGAAGTGCGGTGGTCTTGTTCTTTAAGAAAGGCGACAAGGCTCTCTTGAAGAACTACAGACCTATTTCCCTTCTGAGCCGCGTCTACATGCTATTTTCGAGAGTCATTACGAATCGTCTCGCACGCAGACTCGACGACTTCCAGCCTCCCGAACCAACCGGTTTCCGAAAAGGCTTTAGTACCATAGACCACATACATACCCTTCGGCAAATTGTACAGAAGTCTGAAGAGTACAATCTGCCACTTTGCCTGGCATATGTGGACTATGAGAAAGGCTTTGATTCCGTCGAAATTTGGGCGGTGCTACAGTCCCTTCAGCGGTGCCAAGTTGACTGTCGGTATATCGAAGTGCTGAAGTGTTTGTACAGTAGGGCTACGATGGCTATCCGAGTACAAAACCAGAGTTCGAAACCTATCCAACTGCAGAGAGGTGTAAGACAGGGTGATGTTATATCCCCGAAACTCTTCACCGCTGCGTTGGAAGACGTTTTCAAGCTACTGGACTGGAAAGGATACAGTATTAACATCAATGGCGAGTACATCACTCACCTTCGATTTGCCGACGATATAGTCCTTATGGCAGAATCGCTGGAGGACCTTAGCACTATACTAAATGACCTCAATGGTGTCTCCCAACGGATGGATCTTAAGATGAACATGGACAAAACAAAGATCATGTTTAATGTCCATTTGATCAATCATTTTAACCCCTGAATGAATCAATTTAACCCCTGAGCGTCTCTAAATCGACCGCCGCCGGTCAAACCCATTTCATGTACCTCAGGCATAGGGAATAAATTGAGCTAACGTGTAGCTAATTGGAATAGTTCTTAAACCACCAGCTACTTGAATATAAATTCTACATTCTAATTCGACTCTTAATAATTTTTTAGTTTTACGCAAATAATGAACATTAAATAGAATTGATTATACGGATTATTTTTATTTAGGAATAAAAAAGAAATTTTATTTTAGAAAATACGGATTGTATATGCAGAAAATACTTTATATCAAAACGTGAAATAATCGTTAAAATAGTCCTATTTTATTCTACTATTATAATAAATTCATGTCTGATAACGCATTCTTGGAAAGGAATTCGTGCTGTGAATTTTGAAAAGGTTAAAGGAAGTACAAGAAAAGCAATTCAGAAGCCAGCCTTGTAAGATAATAATTCGGTTTGAAAATGAAAGTAAAAGACGAAAAGAGAGCTGCTTAAATAATGTCTTAATAACCTAAACGTTTACTTACCCTATCTAAAAGGTTTAAGTAACATTGAACTTATTTTTATTAATTAATTAATGTGTTTAAATTATAAAACGCATTACTTTTAATACCATTATAATATGTTTGATGAGATGGGTAATTTTTTCGTGATAGCAACTAAATAGAAAGAAAAACTAGGATTGCCAAAATGCCATTCGAGCGTGGTAATGACGACACATATGGGGCAATCTATAGGGCAGGCTTTTGTTCTGAAGTGAAATTTTGAAAGGCTTGTAAGTAATGTATGTGTTACCTTGTGTACTAAAGAGCTGAGAAAAGCACAGTCATGGAATGCTGTAGTGAATTTATGTTGAATCATCATCATCATCATCACAGCCCTTCACAAGTCCACTGCTGAACATAGGCTCCACCAAGTAATGCCACAAAGCACGGTCCTGAACCACCTGCATCCATCGACTTCCTGCATATCTTACCAGGTCGTCACTCCATCTAGTGTAGGGCGACGAGGCGACGGTACGAGGCTGCCACTCGAGAACCTTTCTTCCCCATCGGTTATCGGTTCTTCGAGCTATATGGCCGGCCCATTGCCACTTCAGCTTACTAATCCGTTGGGCTATGTCGGTCACTCTGGTTGTACTGCGGATATCCTCATTTCTGAGTCTATCACGCAGAGAAACTCCGAGCATAGCCCTCTCCATAGCTCGCTGAGCGACCTTGAGCATCCTCATACGGCCAGCAGTGAAGGACCACGTCTCAGATCCGTAAGTCATCACTGGCAACACGCACTGGTAATTTCTCGAACGCTGCCCAGCCGAGTTGAATCCGTCGATTGACCTCTCGGTCGAAGTTGGACTTACCTAGTCTGACTATTTGTTCCAGGTAAACGTACTCGTCAACAACTTCGAACATAGTGCTCCCAACAACTACCGACATAGATGTGACATAGACATTAAATATGATCTTTGTTTTGTCCATGTTCATCTTAAGACCTATCCGTTGGGAGGTACTATTGAGGTTATTGAGCATAGTGCTTAAGTCCTCCAGCAATTCTGCCATAAGGACTATATCGTCGGCAAATCGAAGGTGAGTGATGTACTCGCCATTGATGTTAATACCTTATCCTTTCCAGTCCAGTAGCTTGAAAACGTCTTCCAATGCAGCGGTGAAGAGTTTCGGGGAAATAACGTCACCCTGTCTTACACCTCTCTGCAGTTGGATAGGTATCGAACTCTGGTTCTGTACTCGGATAGCCATCGTAGTTCTACTGTATAAACACTTCAGAATTTCGATATACCGACAGTCAACATGGCACCGCTGAAGGGACTGTAGCACCGCCCAAATTTCGACGGAATCAAAGGCTTTCACATAGTCCACATACGCCAGGCAAAGTGGCAGATTGTACATTATATTGTTTAATATAAATCCAAAATGATTGGTCTTGTAGAAATAATGAACGGCGAAAGAGTTACAAATCAAATTTATATTACAGATGTGAACGGCGGAGTTGGGAAAGGACGCCTAGACAAAGGTTTATCGGCCGAATTGGCGATATTTTGAAAATGGGCCACATTAGGAGTACCCTTGGAATCGTGCCATATGGAAGTCCGTAGTCTCTGCCTACACCTCTGGGACGAACACCAAAACCTGGAAGAATAATTTGTAGGCCATACAAATACATTCTCCGTGCGGATGGTTATGTTTTTATGCAGATATTCTCGTAAGTAATTTTATCACGCAGAGAAACTCCGTGAACAGCCCTCTCCATTGCTCGTTAAATGATTTTGAGCTTCCTCATAGAGTGAACGACTAAGTATCGGTTCCGTTAGTCATCTCCAGCGAGGTTTGTTCGATAAGAGGATTTGTGTGAATTACTACAATACACGTGTAGAACTGGAAAGGACGTTATAAAATAAAATAAAATAAAACAAAATAAAACACAAAAATTAAATGGCACCTTTTATTATCTTCATAACTGATCGTACATACTAAATACCGCAGTCAAAGAGAGAGATATAGAATGTAAAACAGAACTAGTCACAACCAGCGTAACAGTTAGGTGGTAAAATTTAAATTAAGTACGTACTTTGTGTACTTTTTTCATCCCTATATAGGGATGAACCCGATATTGGCAGTGATATTTATGACGTATAAAAATGGAAGCCATATGTATCTAATATATTGACAAGTCACTGACACAAACAAATTTAGTACAAAATCCTAAATACAGCTACTAGTATATTTACATGCCTTATTGTATTAACTTTATAGTCATTCGGTCTTATTATAAAAAGTATTATATGGTTAGTCTCAGCTATAAAGTAAAATCTGTTTCACGAAAAAGTCCCGCGAAAATATGTTTGTATGGAATTAGGCATCAAATGTCAAATTTTTTACGAAATTTTGGCGCTGCGGCTGTGTCATTTTTTTTTTAGAAGGCCTCTTTTTAAAACATAGTGAAAGCCCGAGACTACCGATAAAAACATACTTCACTACATTTCACAACGCGTCATAGAATATATAAAAAGCTTGTTGGTATTTCCTGTAAATTATAAATATTTTAAGTACGTCTGTAGGTTATTATTTAAGTAGTTTATCATTGATTATGTTCATTAAACTACCTAGGAAATAATAATAATATTATTGATTTGTGACCATACACTCATTATCCTTGGATGCCACTAAGTCTAAATACTATGCGCACTGGATAAGAAGAACTGACAAGTTCAGCCATAAAAGTAAAATTTTATTACATACATGCGATATAAAAAAGATTATTATTAGATTATTATTTTATATGTCAATATGAAATTGATAAAAATTTAAGTAAAAACAAAAATTCATTAAAATTAGATAGCTTTAATGCACTCGAAATTTGACAGTCCTTTTGAAAGTCCACGCATAGTACAACATTATATAACAAATTCTTGTTGACTAGTAAAAAAATTCTAGTCACAATATAGTTGTACGCTTATGCTAAATCATAAATAATTGTTAAGGCAAGTAAGTATTTACAAAAGTATACATCGAATTCATTCGAATTTATAAACAATTTATATTTCTCATAATTCACTAAAGAAATGCATTTGTAATAAAACAATCATATTTTTATTTTAGGGTTCGTGCAAACGTTAACAAAACAATACACCACCTCCTCTTAACATCACATACACGCATTTTTTCCTCTACGAAGACATCACAGTCAAATGATATTTATAAATTAGGTATATAACTTACAAAAACGTCATATATAAATAAAGCTTTCGGTGAAAACGTTCATCACCATGTACACTGTTCGACAAAACAATTGTACTCAAACAAGAATTCCACGTTTGGACTTTAAAGTTCCATTTGCGATAATAGAGTGTTCTAGCTATCGAATATTATTTCTATCCCTTCCTATAAATGGACTGGATTCGTGATTGTTCTTCTCGAGGTTCCCGGATAGGGTAGGGTCTGGTCGACTTCTTTTAAAGAAGCCTAATTTCCATAGTGCAATTATCAACAAAATTAGCACAATAAGTCCCACTATCACTGACACTATTATAACCCATAAAGGCACTTCCGAAGGTTCGCTAATCTTCAGGTCTGGATATGCTACCGTCTCAACCTGTAAAATATACGAGTGAACATTTGTACAATTACTTACAAAGCATAATAAAACATTATTTCCCCTAATAAAAGTCCGTAAATATCCGTATTACAAAATAAACTTGTGTTAAACTATTTGAATTATAGAGTTACATGTTTTGGAAATAAGTGCCTGCGATTTTATTAAACTCTTGTTAAGTATATTCTATGTTCTATTAAACTCTATGTTTTGATGAGAGAAGAGAAGTAAAGAAAAGGAAATTCGCTACAAAACGATACAATGTTTGTCTGATGATATGACTATCCAACCGAATTTTCTGATGATATGGCTATCCAAGCGAATTGTCTGATGATATAAAGTTAAAAGTGATAAACTTAGAAATGAGGATATCCCCCGTAAAACTAGAGTAACAGACATAGCCTTAGTAAACTGAAGTGACAAGAGATTGGCCATATAGATCGAAGAACCGACAATTATGCGGAAGGAAGGTGCTCGAGTGGAAGCTTCGTACCGGTAGACGAAGTGTGGGGTGACCTCTCCCTAGATGGAGTTACGACCTGGTGAGACTTGCGGGAAGTCAATGTATGCGGGATTGCAGGTCGCTCAGGACCGTACTTTGTGGTACTATTATTTATGGAAAGCCTATGTTCTAGGACTAAGAAGAGATGTAATGATGATAATGATGATGATAATAAAAATAAAACTAACTCCAATGCGATTATACCCCTAACATTTACTTACGGAATGTGGAAAATAACCATTTACGTAAGAATTTTTGTTACGGAGTTGTGATATAACAGTTACAAAAATTATATGAACGTGGCACATTTATTTATATTTAGCACTACACAATCTGACGCAGAGTAAGTAATCTTTGATATATTAAATAATAGATAATTTATGCCTCGTGTTCATGTTTAAAATTTTGTTTCTCGTTATAGTTTAAGAGCATAATAAAATTGAGTATTGACATCCACTTCTAGGACAAAAGCCTCAAATTCTTTTATCCATGAGGGTGAAATAAGTGTAATAAATAAAATAATAACTAAGCGAAATATACTATGTAAAGAAGTTTATTTCTTTCAGATTTGGATTCAGATGGATTTTCAGATGGCATACCTCATTTCCAGTGATGAGAGTCTCCGATTCCGACACTCACCATACGAAATACATCAACATTAATCTGCTATTTTACGCTGGTATTTTATCGCAGCGTGATCCTACCCCAGTCGAGTTGACCCATTCATGCTACAACTATAATATAGCTGCTGCGTGGCTTCACCACGTATAGAACTATGATATTCATCGTGATTATAATTCAATCGTAAAAATAAAGGCCATATGTATATAATAATTATCGAAAATTATTGCTTACTGTGGCAATATCATCATGGTGCTTGTTTTGGTGTATATTGTAGTTATCAGGTATGCGAATTGCAGCTGTCGAAGCGATGTTGACGTGATTGACGCGTGGATAGTCCTCCACCAACGTGGCGTTCCAGAGTCGAGCTCGGATCGTAATGCTGCTTGCCTGCATGCGACGCAGTCCGTAGATGATGCAGTGGAATTGGATACATTTGGCTGTTTTCTTTTGACAGCTCTGAAAAATATTTTAAATTATTTGTAGAGAACAGCGTCATCAGGTATAAATAACATACCTAATGACTTTGTTATTCCTACGGGTACCAAATCATAACAGGTATTATTACTCACCATATTAACAACATGCTTTCTTTGTCCATCCTTATCCGTGTACGCTTCTGCTTTCACAACATCGTTCTCTCTCTTTCTTCTCACTTTGTTCTCATATGCAGTTGAATATTCCGTAAGCTTCCTCGTTCTATTAGATGTTTTCTCATCGGATCTAACGCTCAACTTTCCTGTAGTAAGGAATGGATCCATTTCAAGATTTTCCAGCAAAGGCTCTATGGCTCCGGGGCGCATCGTTAGTTTTAATGGGTTTATTTCTCCATCTGACAGAAAACATTCTCCATTATTTTGATCTGGAAAGAGACAAAAAAAAATTATGACACGATTTATAAATTTATTTCTAGATTTTCGTAAGTATGTATAATGTAGTATGTATAGGCTCAGCAATATGGTTCAAACCATTATAGCAATTGCTCCTGTTAATTATTTAAATATAGTATCATGACCAACCAGCTTCTCCATCGACGGTGGGTAAGTCTTCAGGGTACAGCAGCCACTTGCCCTGCTGACTGTCCGAAGCAACTTGATGAGGCCATGAAATTACCACTTGTAGCGAAGACACTCGTAATGGACCTTCGTTAAATATCTGCAACCAAATATATCTAATAAGATAATTGAAACTATTAATTAAGGTTGCAATCATAAAATTTATCCATCCATATTCATTTCCATTCTGAGTGAATAAAATGCTTAAAAATACTCTAAACGATAATACGATCTTGACCAGTTATCACGTTTTATTGAAGATTTTAAGGTCATTAAAGATGATAATAGTAATAATATAATATCCGAAGGATTGTATGGAGCAATTAAAGCTATGTTAGTAAAACAGTTTAGAGATATATTCAATAAAAATATATGTAATACATATCTCGCTATTCTTTTCTTCCTTACACACACATATGTACGTAGTGTTTCAGTATAAGACATTTAGTCCTTGCTATTAAATACACGTAATATATTTTATACAAATATTTGAATAATTCTTATTAATAGCGCAAGTATTATAAATTTGTCACTTTTTTCATCAAGCTACGTCTCATTTTGAAAAACGGTTTCTTATCAAATGAACTACTTCACAATTATAATAACGATGTTTTATGTTGTAATATGAAATTTATCGAAAGTTCATCACAGGTGCACTCACTCGACTACCTTTTCGTTTTCAGTGTAAATAAACATTATCACAAGGAAAACTTGTAAATAAATAAAATATATACACATCGACTTTCAGTTAGGATTCTAACTTAAGACCCGCGAAGTAAGATTCGTAAGCATAGGGTCGTATATAATACTTGATTTGCAATAATATGCAATACTAAATTTTAATTTACCTGATACGTGTGCACAACTCGTGTACCGATATCGTCGAAGTAAGTCATGGCAGATTCTCCCTTCACTTCGCCGCCGTAGAACACCTGCTCCGGCCTTGCTGCACTGAAATTATACACGTTTTGATTGATTACCTTGCTCGATATCATTCAATTATTATATACTGACAGTAAATTGATTTGAAAAAAAAATGTAATTATAAAACTAAATGTCAAGTCTTTGTTTGAATTCGTGATACGTAATTATGTCGCTGAGTGTGGCTTTTGTAAATTTAGCTAAAATATAAATTTCACGTGTTTGTTACCATGTTAAAGAAATGAGGAAAGAAAAGGTTAAACAGTTACTGGTTATTTTATTAATTTGTAGCGTTATCTCTTAGTTTTTTAAATATTTATGATATGATACACCTGTACAGTTACTGCCGTGTTATTGTTTACAGGCCAGTACATAAGGGTACAAAATGCAGATACGTTGTCACCCCTGAAGACTAAGTGTACACTCACCACACGAAACGCAGCAGTCTTAAGCTGCTATTTAAAGTGGTATTCTGTACGTAGCCCTATCCCGGTCGAACCAACCCATTCATGCTTCAACAAAACTTTCATCTTAGTGGTAATATAAGAGCATTAGTAAACTTCGTTGTTTGAAAGCTGTTTTGCTGATTGGGCAGCACTGGTGTTAGCAATAGCCATATATAAGCTGTCTTGGTGGCTAGGCCACTGCAACTTTGAGCTCCTTTGTTACATTAATATAATATTAAAACAATAAGTTATAATTCCTAACGAAATATTTATATATTAATCCTATTGCAACATATTCAAAAATGAGCTATTGAACCTCAGGGCTATTATAGCGTCATCTTAAATCACGCGCGCTATCAAATCAATATTAAATGAAGTTCGTCAACACATAGACTCCCCCCCACTCCCCCGCTATTTGGAGTAACGATAGGACAGATGAAGGAAGTAAATAATAAATATGACAATCATACCCATACGTACTCAAGCATACATGTATAACATTGTGCTGATTGGTGGCAGCTCTAAATATATGTCAAACGCTCTATATTCAGGCCTTAGGTTAAAACAAACACGCAAAAATAAAAAGCAGATTATACATACCCTTTAATTAAAAGTTCAGCGTTTTTAATAATTAGAGCTTGAACTTTAGCAGGTTTCTTTTCAGGGTAGCGTTCTTTGGAAGTTGAGTTGGCCCACACCGTGAAAGTAACGGAGGGCTCGTTATCTTCTAGAACTCTCGCATCAAATCTCATGATGATAGGAGCAGCACCGTCGGGCTGCTTCTTGAAAGGATTCTCGAGTAAGCACGACACTATTGTTTTGTTCACGCTTGAGCATATCATGTGTTTATCCTGATAAATAATAAAAAAGAACGTCGGTATATTTCTCACACAAATTACATACGTACATTTAGAATACAGTTTAATATAATAAAAGATTAATATTATAATTTAATTTATGAGAGATTAGTGTTTATATTGATCACATGCTTATTAGATGTATGAAAAAGAAAATAAACAAAAACCTAAACTTGTGTCATAGCCAAAATAATTAAGATTTTTTCAGCTTACCTTCAACAGATGAGACTTTTCTCAGCAGTGGACTGTATGCAGTTGAATATTTACTAATTATAAATTTTCTGTGACGTCGATAATTACTTACGCTAATATTAGCTGCGATGTAATGTAAGCTAGCGTGATGCTGTACAAATAGTTGTCCTTCATAAGCAGATTCGCCTAAATTATCCAAGGATATAGCAAGTTTAATTTCTTCTTCTTGGCCTAAAGTCAGAGCATATGACTGGCCGTCTTCCGCTAAAAAAACAACATATTAAAATTATTTTTAAAAGATTTTTACCAAAGAGTCTATATAACTGTTTTAATTTACAGGTATATGTGGACATAATATAACATACTACATAATATTCTATTTTTTATAGCATTGGGTGACAAACGAGCACGCAGTTCACCTGATGGTAAGTGAATGCTGTAGCCCATAGACATCCACATTTATCTTCAACTACGGATGAAAATGTTAATGCGTTGTCACCCCTGAGGACTAAGATGGAATGCCTCGATTCCAGTAAAAAGGGTCACCGGTTCTCTACACTCACCATACAAAACACAGCAGCATTACGCAGCTATTTTACACTGGTATTCTGTGAAAGCGTGGTCCTGCCCCGGTCGAGCCAACTCATTCGTTAGTCCAGAACTATATTACACGGTTGTAGCGTGGCTCTACCACGTAAAATTTTTCCCCTGCCATGGAAACGGGCTTTTAAAGAGAGTGTTTGTAATGTAACTTCCCATATACATGGTCAAAGCTACGTTAGATGTAATATATTTAAGTAAAAAAACAGCGGGATTAATTCCTTGATATAATCATCATCAATACAGCTTAGCGAAGACCAACACTGATCATAGGCCTGACAATAGGTTGTTTCATAAAAGGAATATTATATATTATAGTTATCACTCATGACAAACTGATAGGTAACCGCAGGTTTTTATTATTACAAGTATTTATTATATCAGGAAGACCCTGTTATCCATCTCCTGTATCAGATCCCTTTGTCCGTACTTATGAAACTTACTGAAAAATATTTATATGACTTTAATTAAGTCGCCCACGACGCCGCCGCACCATCAAGAATTCTCAAAAAAAATTGAACTGTACCTGTACCGTGCGTTACACCTACTTTTAGTCTAAAAATCGAGACATCGCTGCAATTGTAATTTTTCAAAAATCAAAAGCATTTATTAATTATTTTTATATAATAACAACACCACCGAACACCGATTATCCGAATTAATTGGGACCGGGGTTATCAGTGAACATGATATCGCGACTAGCGATGATAAAGTTATCTTAACAATTAATACAGTTAACAGTTTTACACTTACACTTGGGCAGCAACAGTATGGGGTCAACGCGAAGCTCGCTGACACACACGGCATCCGTACCGCAGTCGTTAAGGAAGTTTGCGCTGAATGCTGTAACGGCTGTCGCATTCAACACTGGATAATCGTCGATGTTTGGTAGCGGTTTTATCGTTGAGTATTCCGGTTCTACGTTAACCAGTTTGTAAGTCACCAGGAACTGGCAAAAGATATTAAGCATAAACCAAAGTTCAAATTACATATATAAATTGGAGACAAGCATTTAATAACAGTTATTAATAATTACTTCTAACTTGTTAGTCTAATGATCGGAAAAGCGACTGCTGACCATGTGGTCCTAGGTTTGAGTCCCGAGCCAAGTGGGTTTTACTGTCAAAAAAAAACCACAATCGTGCACTATGATCCTGTCCTGCGCAGATGGCTAGTCGCAGTTAAGACTGCCAGCCGTGACTGAAATTCAGTCTGGAGGGCGATGCCAGATTAGCCATTATTGCCAGGCAGGTGTAGGTTTAAATTTAGGACGGGGTAACTTGAGGCATTTTGAGTTGTTAACAACTTACTGCCCTGTATTTATACCGATTTTTTTACACTTTAACTTCCACACTCCCTGTTATATAGATGTCTATATTACGTATATATATATATATATATATATATATATATATATATATATATATATATATATATATATATACGAATATATATATATATATATATATATATATATATATATATATATATATATATATATTACGGATAACGCCCGAAAAACTAGAAAGCCCAGGTTTACCCAGTGATTTTTGAGTAAAGCCCATATGTAAATAAAAAAACTACGACTTTTGTTAAATTTATCAGAAGTACGAAAGAATATTTCAAGAAATATCCGCGACAAAATAATTACGACACTAGCGGAACCTTAGTTTACTAATTCATCGTGATTACCCGTAAAATATACACAAAATTTTGCTTATCCTTTGGTAACAAAGGTATGTATGTTTCTAGAAATATCATATTCTTTTATAATAGAAATAAAAGTGCCAAAATAAAAAAGACTAAAGCTATCTTCAAGGAAATAAAATTTAAAATAAATATCTTTATTAAAAGATACGCTGCCGAAATAAAGATAACACCACCTTTATTTTTTATTAGACATTTATTATTTAGATACCTTTTTTTATTTTAATGCACAGATAAATGCATCGTTTTTTATAGAACTTTTAATTGAATAATAATTTTCATGAGATAACGAGTTGATGAAAAAATTTGGGATATGCAAGCGGGATTTAGAAAGGGAATGGGGTGTACAGATCAAGTCTTTTCCATGCGCATGATCGCGGAGAAGTTTTTGAAAAAGTTTTTTTGTGCGTTTATAGACTTGGAAAAGGCTTATGACAGAGTGGACAGGGATGTGTTATGGCAAACGCTGAACGCATTTAGGTTGAGCGATGGTTTGATACAGGCATTAAAGTCTCTGTATAGAGACTCGAGTGCTTGTGTTAGAATCAACGGGGTCTACTCGGACTGGTTTGGTATCCATAAAGGTGTCAGACAGGGCTGTGAAGCTTCCCCGTGGCTGTTCAACCTATTTATGGACAGCTGCTTGGAAAATTTGAAAGTTGAAGAATGCGGGTTAGGAATGGGTGAGTTAACCATCAAATGCCTTTTGTACGCCGATGATCAAGTCATACTTGCGTCGTCGGCGGCCGAGTTGCAAATGATGGTTACATTAATGAACAGGTCATTAAAAAAAGGGGAATTAAAGTGAACGCAGTAAGACGAAAGTGATGGTTTTTGAAAGAGATGAAAGCAAAACGGTATGTGAAATAAGAATAGAAGGAGAGTTAAATGAGCAAGTGAATGAGTTCGTATATTTGGGATGTGTATTCAGCAGGGATGGGAGATATGATAAGGATATTGAACGACGAGTGAATGCAGGAAATAAAGTAAATGGGGCTCTGTACTCTATTGTAAAAAGTCAGAATGTGTCAAAAAAGGCACGTATGGCAATTCACAGTGCTGTATTAGTCCCTACTTTAACGTATGGTAGTGAAAGTTGGGTGTGGCAGAAGAAGCACGAGAGTAGAATAAATGCAGTAGAAATGCGGTCGCTAAGGAGTATGTTAGGGCTGAATCTGAGTGACAGGGTGAGAAACTGTGTGATAAAAGAAGAGTGTGGTTTGCAAGATGATGCCCCCACCCAGGTGCGTTAAGTGCCTCGAACCACATAACACGAAAGAGTGTCCCCGGCCCAAAGACGCCGAATCCCCGCCCGCTTGTGTCCTGTGCAACCAGACAGGACACCCGGCTAATTACAAGGGTTGCCCACGTGCACCTCAACCTCGCCCCAGTAGGCAAGCTCCACCGCCGATGAATGACCGCTCATTCCCGGCCCTCCAACAACAGCCCCGTCAGGGCCTTTCTCAGCCCACCCAGGGCTTCTCTCGACCCTCTCAGGGTCCCCCTAGGCCCCCTCAGGGCATAATTCGGCCCCCTCCGGGCTTCTCCAAGCCAATGCAGCCTCCAGTCTTTCCCTGAGGGCCCAAAAAGGCAAACCCACCGCGGACAACCTCGTACGCTCATGAAGCAGAGCCCACAATCGACGACTACAACACGCTATATTCCGCTATTAGGAATATCGATGTTAGGGAAATAACAGTAGTATCACGCAAACTGCGCGCGGCCAAGTCCCCCCAAGAACGTCTCCTGTTTGCGAAGCACCTTAACCTTCTGTTAGCGTTGTAAGTTAGGTTAACTCAATTAACTTAACTTCAATGACTGAGCGAATTAACCTACCAAGATCTCACGGTCGTATCAAACCTAAGGGTTTATCGCTTGTATCATTTAATATTCGCGGCTTGCGAAATAACCTCCCAGAGCTCAAGCTCTTTCTTCGGAATCGTGAAGTCGATTTCCTCCTCCTACAGGAAATTAATCAAAGCTAAGGACACTAGAGGCCTTTCTATTAAAAACTTCTCTCTTCTTCGTAACGACAGACCCAACCGCCGAGGCGGCGGAACGGCCATCTATTACAAGAAGACACTTCATTGCTCGCCCATTTCTACTCCGCAGCTCACCAACATGGAAGCCACGGTATGCAGGCTAGCTATGAGTGGACATCAGTCCATCCTCATAGCCTCCTGTTACGTCCCTTCAGGAACCTATCCTCTCAAAAAGGATTTTGAGGCCATTTTATCTTTAGGCAATTCAGTCATTATGTTTGGAGATTTTAACTCCAAGCATACTGAATGGACATGCCGCACTACGTCCCCTAGTGGCAAGATACTGCTCGATATCACGCAGTCTCTTGATATTACCGTCCATAGTCCTCTCGGTGTTACTCACTTTCCCGATAACACCGATCACGCCCCCGATGTGTTAGATTTTGCGTTACTCCAAGGAGTTTCTCTCAACCTCAGAGCAATCGAGACACTAGACGATCTAGGATCAGATCACCGACCGGTCTCCCTCATTCTTGGCCATCAGCCACCTCCCCCAACACACACGAAAACCTTCACTAACTGGAAGGGATTCAAGGAGTCCCTAGCTAAAGTTTTGGACTCACAGGACTCTACCATCTCCCTACCGTCGGACTTAGATAGTCCCGAAAAAATCGACACCGCGGTCGATTCACTCTCCACCCTTATTAAATCCTCCCTTAAGGAGAACGAAAGGGTCGTCCCCGTTGCTAACAATAGTGGGCTGCCCCTACATATTAGCAACCTATTAAAAGCCAAAAAAGCTGCTTTCCGGAGAGCAGCAAAATATCCCACCCCCGAATATAGGCGCGCGGCCAATCGTCTTCAACGAGAACTCCGCTTCCGCCTCTCTGAATTTCGAGACCTCGAAATGAGTAAGCTCGTGGAGAATATCTCTCCTTCTCACACAGCGTACTATCAGATGGCTAGAGCCCTCCGCATAGACGCTATCACCCACACTCTCCCTCTCTCCCGTCCCGACGGCACGGTTGCCTTCGAGGACGAGGAAAAGGCTGAGTGCTTTGCAGATAGCATTGCCGCTCAATACTCTCCTAGTTCTCAACCCGTCGACCCCTCTCACGTCCAGGCAGTGGAGGATGAGGTCCGCCGCCGAAACTCACCCCCTACGGCCTCCGAACCTATCTCTGTGTCCAATGATGAGATTTCGTCCCTCATCAAAGGACTTAAGCCCAAAAAGGCTCCGGGCGCGGATGTCATCTCCAACCAAGCCCTAAAACACTTTCCTGAGCAGGTGCTAACCTTTTTATCTATTATCTTCAACGCCTGCTTCAACCTCAGTTATTTCCCCACTACGTGGAAAGAGGCTACTGTGATTGGAATTCCCAAGCCAGGCAAGCCTCTCAACCTCCCCCTCCAGCCATCGCCCCATTAGCCTCCTCAAGGCAATGCGCAAGCTCTTCGAAAGAGTCATCCAAACGCGCATGAGGCGCTATCTGTTTCCCACAGACGGCGACCCTCTTATCATTCCCCATCAATTCGGTTTCCAAGCCAAACACTCATGTCCCCAACAAGTTCACCGCATTGTGGAATATATCCTCAGCGGTTTCTATCCTCGTCGTCATAAGACCATCGCGGTCTTTTTCGATATAGCTAAAGCTTTCGATAGAGTCTGGCACACAGGCCTCATCTACAAGCTCTATAAAATAGGTCTCCCCGATCGTCTAGTTCGTCTCGTGGCCTCCTATTTAAAACATCGTACCTTTCGTTTTAGACACGAAGGCACGCTTTCTTCACAGCGAACTATCAAGGCTGGTGTCCCTCAGGGCTCAGTACTTGCTCCTCTGCTGTACATCCTGTTCACCAACGACATTCCCATCCCGTCGAAAGGTGTTCAACTCTCCCTCTTCGCAGACGACACTGCCATCTACTGCAAAGGTGTCTCACTACCCTTCATACGGAACAAGATCCAAAAGTCAGTTGATGACCTAGGTGCTTGGTTCAAAAAATGGCGCATCGATGTGAACCCGGAGAAGAGCTCCGCCGTTCACTTCGATTATAAACGACGCCGTCTCAAAAACACTCCACCAGTACGTATGCTAGGGACCCCTGTCCCCTGGCATACGTCCGCCAAATATTTAGGTGTCACTCTAGACACAGGGCTCACTTTCATGCCCCACGTCAAAAGAGTAACCCGTCACGCACGGTTTTATCTGAGTAGGCTCAACAGTATGTTGGGCCGACACAGTAAAATGTCCCTTCGAAACAAGCGTACCCTTTACAAGGTCTGTATACGACCAGTCATGTCCTACGCGGGCCCCGTCTTTGCCCACGCAAACCCTAACATTTTAAATGAACTCCAAATAGTTCAGAACCTCTTCTGTCGTCGAGCTGCGAACGCACCGTGGTACGTCCGTAATGCCGACCTTCATCGGGACTTAGAGCTCCCAACAATTCAACAATTTTTTAAAAAACTCTCTGAGAACTTCTTCAAAGCCTCAGAGTCGCACCCAAACCATTTAATTCGTGAGGCAACTTCTTATGCAGCCCCACCCCCCTCTCGCTATCGTGTCCGCAGACCGAGAAACTCTCTCTCGGACCCGCCTAATAAACTTTCAAACGACCTGAACTGTCTCCTGGCGGCTCAGGCCAACTCTAATTAAATAAAATTATTGTAATAACTAACATTAATTTGCCTTCGTAGGCACTCCCTCAGCGGCACTTAGCCGCCTGCGCCCTCTTTTCCCAAAAGAGGGTCGCTCATGATAAGGCACAATAGAGCTTAATCAGCCGGTTGCCTGTCCCCAAAGGCGGTTTTTAGAGGGTATCACTTAGGGTCCCCGGTAGGACAGTGAGCCCCTCATAACCACGATAGACCGGCTATCGTGGTATGCGTAATGCATTTTTCGCCTCCCTACGTATAGGGTAGCCCTTTAATTGCTTCGGGCGCAAAAAAAAAAAAAGCAAGATGATGCGGTGACCAGGATTAAGAAAGGAATGCTTCGGTGGTTTGGTCATGTAGAAAGAATGAATGCGGAAAGACTGACAAAGCAAATATATGTTGCAGAAGTGAATGGAAGAGTCGGAAAGGGACGTCCTAGGTGGAAGTTTGTCGACCAAATTGGCGATATACTAAAAATGGGCCAAATTAAGAGTACCCTTAACCGACGAGCATGTATGCGTAGGTATATGGATGTGGAAGAGGCGAGAAAGGTATGTCAGGATCGTGCTAAATGGAAGTCTGTAGTCTCTGCCTACCCCTCTGGGTGACAGGCGTGAGTGTTTATGTTTATGTTTATAACGAGTTCGAAAGAAGATACAAAGAAGTAGATATCTGCATACCTTAATCGGTGTTTGAATATCTCTTGTATTATTCTTTAAGTACACAATGTGCTGTCTACAAACTTCAACATCTTTGCCTAGACGCAGCGTTTTATTCACAATGTTTGTCTTCTCCGAATCCAGTAGAACTCTGGAATATTTTCTTCCACCCGCGAAGGTTTCAGCTTCGATGACGTAACTTAGTTCGTGCATATTTGTTTGGGTTGATTTCACGAGAGATTTTATAATGCAGCATGCTTCGAAATGGAAGCAAGTGTAGCTGGAAGTAGGATCTTTTTCACAGCCTTGTTTCGATGGATCGACGTTTATTATTGTATTCGATGGTTTTATTGAAGTCTTGATATCGATTATCGGCCTAGTCCGAAGTAGAGCGACGCTGCTCTGTAAAACAATGAAAAAATTTATTTTAGAAGGATCTTCCTTATGAATCTTCTTAGTTTTAAATCGTAAATAGCAAACTTCTAGACTAGGTTTGTCCTTACAGCCCATCACAAGCCCATTTTTGGCCAACAAATTACCACAAAGTACAATCTCCTATGTCACCTATAGATATCTATCGATGTGTTGCATGTATCATCTCATTTTTCCAATATGATAGTCTGTTAATTTTTTGTAAGTTTTCCACACACACACACACACACACACACACACACACATATATATATATATATATATATATATATATATATATATATATATAATCTATTTTTTCAAGTTCCCTTCTTTTGTGAGAATTTTTTTTAGTATTTTTTAAAAATACGAAAATTATAAATAAACTAATTGCACTCATGAATTTTTATTCAAATAACCAGTTCAGTTTTTTCTATTATGTCAGTAAGATCAAAAAATATTATTCATGTAGTTTGTATATAAATGTGTTGTACTTAAAAAAAAAACCGAGCAAAGCTTGGTCATCCGGGTAATGTAATATATATCCGGGATCTTATTGACATAATAGAAAAAACTGAACTGGTTATTTGAATAAAAATTCATGAGTGCAATTAGTTTATTTATAATTTTCGTATTTTTAAAAAATACTAAAAAAAAATTCTCACAAAAGAAGGGAACTTGAAAAAAAAGATGAAAAAAAGTCGGACCCAAGACGGGACGCGAACCAAGGCATTAAGGACCGCTCGATATCCACTTCGAGATAGATGGAATGGATTCGATAGAGATATCAGATGGATTTATTGCCCCCGAAACTCCCTGGACACTAAATTTTATGAAAATCGTTGGAGCCATTTCCAACATTCCGATTATATATATATATATATGTGTGTGTGTGTGTAGGTGTGTTTATAGACCATACAAATACTAGCTCTGTACGTAGTTCGTACCGGACTAAGCTACTGCGCCCCGACGCCACTGTGCCGTCCTACTAACGATACAGTAAAATTACTTTGTGTTCAGGATATTTAATAATGAGTTGATTTCTAAAAAGAATTTTGCAAATGCACTATTCTCTATGTATTGTACTCCATTTCTGCTTATGAGTTTATCCGGTTTGGTGGGTAAGATCTTCTTTCTGTTTCTACCGCCTAGCAGTAGTGCATTCATTTGACCCGACTAAAGTCACGGGCTTAAACGCATTTCATCTTAGGCCCGAGAAGTGAAGACGCACCCTTAGCCTTTATTTAAATTCGTTGCCGCTATTCCACATCACAGCAGTGAATTTCCATCAGTTAAACTATTACATGCTTTGTTACTTTAAAATAATAAAACAAGTCGCCTGTTGTTCTAGAGCCCAATTTCATCTTTCCTATAATCTTGTCTTTCCTATTAAGGGGATAGAGTAAGTCAGCTCAAATTCTAATTTCGCCCCCACTTCCCCGCGCGTCGTATGCTATGTACCTCAGATCATATAAACAACAGTTATATGATCTGAGCTATGTACCGACATGTTTGTAATCACTAATACTGTAAGTAGATAGGTCGTTAGATACTTATTTCATTAGGTTTATCATATTTATGCCTGTTTCTTAACGCCAACCCAGTCGCTTCTTATTTTTATAACGGTTATTTCCCATTTTAATTTTACGTCGTCCTGTTGCGTAATGTGTATTCTGATCGTAAGCGACACAACTTCTCCCTTCAAAAGCCGGAGCGATACTAATTACTAACGGGGCGACAGGAATCAAGCTTACGCGCCGATAGTTTAGGTAATTTCTTTTGACAGTGAAAATAATGGTATTTAAAAAAATAGTAAATAACATAAGCACTGCTTTATAGTTAGTTCAGTTAGTATGCAAAGTTTCATGATCTTATTTAAAGTATTTTATGAATAACAACAGTTTATTGTTCAGTTGGGAGGTAACTTTGGATTTTTTTCAATTTTAAAATTCTAGAAAATTTTACGGAATCGTGTTTTTGTCTAACATAGTCCTTAAAATTAATCCTCAACTTTACCATATATTTATTTCAAAATTAATGCTGCAATACTTTCGGCATAACGGAGGATCTTGCTAAGCCATTTGAGGTTATATTTCCCCTTAAGTGTACGTTACATATAGAAATAGGACGTTAAATAATATTATCAAAGAGAGGCCGCGTATGATCTTGGTTGTTGTCAGCCAAACGTCCTTAAGTACGCTTTTAAAATAGGTCCAAAATTGATGGAATCGTGCTTTCTAGGATGTGATATTAAATTTTATAGCACCATACAAATTGCCTTTTCGTTAGTTTTGCACATAATAACGGGTTTACTGCCTTTTGTTGGCGTGTCTTTTGACGGATTTAAGAAAAATAGAAACTTACTACTTCAATTAAATCCATATTGTAGTAATCCGACCGGCCGGTAAGAAATCATCGAACGTGCGCTAAAGTTGATCTCCCGACGAAATAAACATTCCATGCGCAACCAATTTCACAACCGGCCGATCACAATAGTTCGATGAGCTGAGCATCCATGCGTTATTAACATAATAATAAATACCTTAATTTTATTACCTAAGTCACCTTAGATAAAATACTAACGTGATGCTGAATAATATTTGATAAAAAAAACTTTAAATAATGATGATTAAATTATAATTTATAATAAATTGCCATTGAATACTTTTAATAAGTAACGATTTATTTATCAAAAAAAATTCAACTAAACCAATGCTTTTAGAGCAAAATATAATTAAAATGTGTCTCTTCCATTGCATAATATTTTGTTTTATTTACGTTATGTCACCTATTAATATATCTTCGGGACTCGACCAGGTCCACTTTCTGAGGGGCCGCTTCTGGAAGAAAGAATCTCTCCTTCTCCATGAAATCGGTAAGCTACTGGCTCCTTGGATTCCGTCTCCCTATCCCAAATTTCCCTACCTTTAGCTCACCGTTCTCTCTCGTGCCTAGTTTTGCGTTAAAGTCTCCGATTAACATCGATAATGGGTTTTGGAGGAATGTATGGCTCTAGAAATAAAAATACGTGTGGCACTCGGTGACTGCCGCGGTAAAGCATAGGATTTTTTATCAACTTATGCAATTATAATTATTTATTTATTTTATTTATGCAGTTAAGTCTTTGATATTAAATCAAGTTACACTTTTTGAGCGTGGTGACCGATAAGAAAACAATTTTTTTTCTTTTATTGAATAAATGAGAAGTTAATATTGTTTAAAATATTTTTAATATCTTACAATACATGTAGGTTATTCAGGAATTTTTATCATTGAGTTGGCAGCTAGTGTACACGCATACGTCTAGTCGCACGCACACAAACACCGTGCCGAAGTCTGCCGAGTGCCGAAGTCTGCCGAACTGAAACGACATTAGACGATGCACGGCTTTCAACGCCACACCTCCGTGCCCGTCGGAGTGGAGAGCGTGAGGTTTTTTTTCGTTACGGAATTTCTGGATTCGGTTCCCGCGCTCAAGGCCCGCGATAAAAGCTATGCAATAGCTTAAAAAAGTATACTAAAGTATAATAAAATAATATATAACACTCACGTTTTCGTAAGCGCCAACAAGTAAATCAGGATAACCATTCGCGTCCAGATCAATGCCACCGGATAGAGAATAGCCGAAAGTCTTCATGATTCTTGGAAGGGATTCAGCTTTTATGACTTGGTCGGCTTTCGTATGTAAACCTTTTTTCCTATCTCCCATAAAAATATAAACGACACCATTTCCCTCATATGGGCTGCCTATAGCAATGTCTTCGCAACCGTCTTTGTTTAAATCACCAGTATTTGCTATCGCAATACCAAACTGAGATTCAGGTTTGCCAGACAATTTGACGTCGTATACCTGACGTAGACTATTTTTAACGTTCAGGTACAAATATACGGCTCCACCTGCGTCCCGAGAAAAGTAAAATGGTGCACCAACTAAAAGATCCGGTAGCCTGCAAGAAAAAGAATAACTTTGTTACTATTTAATTGAGAAATATGTTAATTACCGAAAAATGCATTAAAAGAAATATCCGAAGCCGTGTTGTAGCCGCGTGAATGAATTTATCAAATATTGTGAGCTTTAAAAATCGACTACGAAAGTGCCAGTTAGCTTTCGTGGACCAATGGAGGAAACTTTTTAAAAACTTACTTAGTTTTGGTTTACCAAGGTAAAATCAAATAATAATCATTATTATTTATTTATAGTACATCCTACCTATTAACTTTTCTTCCTTTTATTTCTTTTTTGTAGGTTATGTGGAAGAAATTCCTCTATAGCAATAAGACCACCTTTAGTTTTTTCTTTATTTATTTTTTATAAAATAAGGGTGACAAACGTGGACATAGTCCACTTGATGGTAAGTAGATGCTGTGGCCCATAGACATCTACATTTATCCTCGATTAAGATTCAAAACGCAGATGCGTTGTTACCACTGAGACTAAGATGGAATGCCTCGTTTCCAATAAATAAGTGTCTCTGGTTCTCTAGACTCACCATATAAAACACAGAAGCGTTAAGCTGCTATTTTACGCTGGTATTCTGTGAGATGGTATTATATTTATTTTTATTATATAATTTGTTTTCTTTGTGCCATTAAAAGTACTGTTAATCAGGATCAATATTTATCCGAGCTGTTTGTTTCTCACAAATCCCTGCTAACGATGGCTATTATACCTTCTTTTATAACCTTCCAATTCTAAACACGGATTGGAAGGTTATACAAGCAATGGATTGATGTACTATTAAAGAGGATTGGGTGTTGGTAAATGTTATTTTCTGAAAAAATGTTTTCGACACTTCATGTACCTAATCTGTACTTTATACATATTACAATTAAGTTGAAATTCACATACCCATCACCATTAACATCAGCAGCAGCTACTTCGTAACCGAAACTAGAGCCAAACTGCTCTCCATTCAGCGTTAGATTGTACTCTAGGATATCGATATCTGTTCTGCCCCAGTCCTTGATGACCCGTTTGCTGAAGATCACCACCTGGCCAGTACCCTTTGCTCTGGGCGCCCCCGCCGCATAAGAAGGTACTGAGTTGAAGAAACCAGCGCCTGTTACTGACATGCCTGAAAAAATGTTAAAGAAATTACAATTTAAGCTTTTCCTATTTTGATCTATAGTAGCGGGTTGTTTATCTTTGTAACATTTTTTTAGAGTGAAAAGTGTAATAGAGTAGCATACAATCCACTTGATATTTAGTGGATGCTGTGAACCATATACACTACATCTACCCTCGACTAAGAATTAAAAATGCTGTCTGTTGTCGCGTCTGAGAACTTTTTTTATAGAAGAGGGGGCAAACGAGCAAGCGGCTCACCTGCTGGTAAGTGACTACAGCCGCCCACGATCAACCGATATGCCTCGTTACCAGCAAAGCGGAGTGTCTGGTTCACAATAGCCACCATACGAAACATAATAGCATTAATGCTACTATTATACAATGATATTCTCTAAAAGCGATGTCTTTTTCTGGTCAACCCTAACCACCGTACTACAGTCATTAACAGTTTCAGCGAGGCTCTATCACGTAACGTTTTTTTTCGCGTCACTGCCCCCCAAGAACAGTTATCGTAAAATATTTTCTAATAAATAAGGATACTGTATTGAGTTCATTTAACCTCTCATATCGATGGAAGCTGTAATACTTATCCACGCACGGACATAAATAAATCTTTCCACGTAAGAATCCTGTCACTTCCTGTAACATCTAATTCAACTGATTCCCTTCCTCAACCTGTGTTAAAAAAATTACCTTTATTTAACTTTCACACTAAGTTAAGTACTTTCACACAAATTCACAATTTCACCATCGCACATCGCGACAAAACTCGCGATACCATTCATACCATCTGGATGACTGGCGGTTCACCACTGTGCGATTTAAAAGAAGTTTTCTTCCTCGCACAACTTCCTTGTGGAATCGACTACCACCAGAGATTTTTCCGGACCAATACGACTTAGGAACCTTCAAGAAAAGAGCCTACTCCTTTTTAAAAGGCCGGCAACGCATCTGCATTTGCCCTGCCAGGCTAGCATGGGCAGGAGACAAAATTTTTATCCCCCGATTATATCCACTGACAAGGGATAAAATTGTCTTATCCCTATGCCAAAGCTTTATCCACCCTGCGATCATGGGCCTATGGTGGGTATAATATCGACAGTAGATAAATTTATCCCCGCGCATAGTTAATATGTCATAGTATAAAGCTATAAACTATAAAGAAGGGCACGTTCAAAGAAACGAAGCGGAACGCCACGAAACTGTGACGCTCCCGCAGTTAAAAATTCGAAAAGTAGTAAATAATTAATAATTAGCAGAATTCAGTGTACTTAGTGTCAAAAATTTGTGTATTAACGAGACACATCTAGTAGTGTAGTTTTTTAGCCGCAAAACAATTTTTAGTGATTTTTTAAGTGAAAAACCGTTTTCTCTCATATTAGCAAAACAGTAAATCGCTTGCGGCGATCGATCAGTCGCCACAACCTGCTATTTTTTTAGTGATTTTGTGCGCCACCTAGGGACACATCATCCTCCAAAAATTTGGAATTTTTGGATAAAGGACACCTGAGTTATTAGAGGAAAAACGAAAACCACGTGGTTGGGCGGGCGGGCGGTCGGGCTCGTGCGTTCGTGCGTGCGTGCATGCGTGCGTGCGTGCGTGCGTGCGTGCGAGCGTGCGTGCGTCCGTGCGTGCGTGCGTGCGTGCTTGCGTGCGTGCGTGCATGCATGCGTGCGTGCGTGCGTGCTTGCGTGCGTGCTTGTGTGCTTGCGTGCGTGCTTGCGTGCTTGCGTGCGTGCGTGCGTGCGTGCGTGCGTGCGTGCGTGCGTGCGTGCGTGCGTGCGTGCGTTTGTGTGTGTGTGTGTGTGTGTGTGTGTGTGTGTGTGTGTGTGTGTGTGTGTGTGTGTCTATTATCTAGATGTTAGTGCTGTTAGTCTATGCGACTCTTACAGCTTCATCTTGTCAAGTGTGTGTCTTACGTGTGTGCGCGTACATGAGTGTATGTGTGGTGAGAGTGTGTTTTTACTTAATGATTTCTTATGTTTACGCGAACACTACACAAATTTCAATGTGTTTTTACTATTTTACTGTGAAGATTTTATATTTCGAAAGTATGATTGCCTGCATTATTAATGATTTATATGTATAATAACAAATAATATGAGAACAATAAAAAATTATAATTACATTTACATATTAGATGTTTAATAGACATTCAGTAGCGTCATAGTCATAAGTTTAAAGCCAATTAATAATTTTATTTTTGATTTGATGGTTGTTGTAGCTTTTAGTAATACAAATTTTATTAAATTTATTGTATAGTACCAACGCAAGGTAAGAAAATTGTATTTTGGCAAAAGCACTATGTGTTCTAGGGACTAACTATCTATCTACTTTATTTCTTCTATTATGTTTTATACTGTCAAGTTGATATTGTGCAGAGTACCTATGGAATTGCCTAATACATTAAATAACTTTCTCACACTAAGTACCTGCGTTTGATCATACAACAGTGTTGTGGGATGTCTATATGGAAGAAAAAGTAATACTTTGAGCAAAACACGTTGAACTCTTTCAGCATCTATTAAGTACGTTTTGCCTGCCGCACCCCAGGAACAGATCCCATAAGTGATGACAGATTGACAGAGCGCATTAAAAGTTTGTATCAGTAACTTAGAGTCTGCCAACTTACGCAATGATTTAAAAACATATATGAGTTTCCTTACCCTGTTTGATATGATTTTGATATGTGGTGCCCAATTCAGATTTTCATCGACAGTGATCCCTAAGTATTTCACAGTTTTGGACCTGTTGAGTTTTGGGCAATAGCAAAGGTCTGTGATTGTCTATTGCATTTATTTAAGTGTATTTGTAATCCAAGATCGTTCAAAGGACTTGAAACACTAGTTTTACTAAAACAGAGGTATGTGGTTTTAGAAGTTTTAGAAGAAGACTGTCTTCGAGCCAACTTGCCACTTCACATAACCCCTTTTCAGCTAAACGTTTGGTTTTTTACTATCATGGAATAGAATTACTGTATGGTCCGCATACATTGTAATGTCTGCTCCTTCAAGATCTAGATCGGCTAACTGATTTATATATACTAAGAATAGGGTTGGCCCGAGTGTACTGCCCTGTGGGACACCGTATGAGCAAGAAAGGTCTTGACTGGTACATTTATCAAGTCTGACTCTGAGTTCTACCAATTAAGTAAGTTCTAAACCATGACAGAACTATACCTCGAACACCCACATTTTGTAGTCGAGTCAACAAAATTTGTATTGAGACGGTATCAAAAGCTTTCTGCAGGTCAATAAATACACCTATACATTTATCACCTTCATCTACATTTTGAGTAATGTTTTTTGTGAGTTTAAGAAGAGAATCTTCGGTTGATTTGTTATATCTGAATCCAAATTGATTTTTTGAAATATAGCATTTGTCTCTAAGTAGTTTGTTAATATTTTATTTACTAATTTTTCGATTACTTTGGATAATACACATAAGAGCGAAATGGGTCTATAATTAGATGTTAAAGATTTGTCACCTGATTTGTGAATTGGGATTACTATTGACTTTTTAAGCGTATTTGGGAAAATACCTGTGATAAAACAATACAATACAATACAAATAAAACTAGTATTGCAAAGATATATAATAGGGCAAGGAATTCTCGAAAGTATATTAGTACATTAGTAGATATTCCATCCCACCCAGAAGCACTGCTATTTTTAAGGCTACTAATAATACTTTTGACTTCACCTGTGTCTACTGGACTAAGTGACATCGATTGAAGTAGGGCCAGGTCTAATTTCTTGGTTTTACAAGCTAAGGATGATTCATTCAATTGTTTTTTTTATTTAGAATATTATGAGCTAATTCTCCACTAATGGAGGTAAAGTACTCATTTATTTTGTTTAGAGACGCGTAGGGATTATTTTCTATGTTTAATAATTCCGTAGATACTGATTTATTTTGTTATAAATTACTTATTTCTTTTATTATTTGCCATGTTTTTTTTAGTTACCAACAGACTTAGCCAGCTGTAATTGGTAATAGGCTCGCAACATCTTTTTTGTATTAAAATGGTTTGAAGATAAACTTAAACCCACGTCCACGAAAGAGGATAAAATTGTCCCTTTCAAATGTCAAAAAAGGGATAATTTTTTGTCTTTCCTTTGGCCCCATTCTACGGACGGGGAGATATATGTCTACTCGATATGTTAAACGGGTATATACTATAGGGATAAGATAATTTTTTCTCTTGTCAGTGGATATAATCGGGGGAATATAATATTTGTCTCCTGCCCATGCTCGCAGGGTGGATAAAACTACGCAAGGGATAAAAATTTTATCCCTTCCCCGGGATATATTCTCTCCTGCCCACGCTAGCCCGGCTGGTGTTGCAGTTGTCCATGGGTAATAACTTACGATCAGGTGAGCCGTATGCTCGTTTGCCCCCTCTCCTATAAAAAGATTTAAAAAAAACTTTTTTAAAATAATTACCTAACACTTACCAAGATAACTATATTTCTCCACTGGACTTAAGCCATCTTCAACGGGAGCCATGTAGAAAGACATATCTCTTTCTAGAAGATCGTCGTTAGTATCATGGGTAAAAATCGTTCCTCTCCAGGTATAGGGACCGGGACTACCTAAAAGTAAGGTGTCATCTTCTAGAATGGAACTGCTCGTTCCCACCTGACAAAAGCCGAACTCCTCGTGTTCTCTAGAAATAAAAAACATTATTACAGTGGTCTTTCAAACAATGTTAGTTTGATTGCGGTTAAATGATACTGAATATATATATAAATAGACATAGTTTCACACTTATAATATTAATCACATATATATATATATATATATATATATATATATATATATATATATATATATATATATATATATATATATATATATATATATATATATATATATATATATATATATATATGTGTGTGTGTGTGTGTGTGCGATTAATATTATAAGTGTGAAACTATGTCTATTTAGATGTTTGTCCTTCTAATTTCTCTTAAACTTCTGGACGAATGGCAATGAAAATTGGTACATTAGTGGATTATTACACGTGTGACTTCAAAAACATTAAACACCATTTTATCAATAATTCTTTTTTATTTAAAAAATCACTAAGTTTTTGGAATGAAATATAGCCTAAATCTCTCCTGACATTGTTTTCTATCGGTTTGCGAAGTTTCATTTCCGCAAAAAAGCTCGGACAGATAGACAAACTGGCAAAATATTAAAAATTGTTATTCATGTCTTCATCATCATCACCACTATCATCATTATAAGCCTTCACAAGTCCACTGCTGAACATGGCCTCGCCCAAAGAATGCAAGGGCCTGAGCCACCTGCATTCGTCGTCCTGCATGGCTTATCAGGTAGTAATTAAATTAATTTCATTTATATGTGGGTATGTAGATGTTACACGATACCTTTTTTGTAGGATAAGGGTAACAAATGAGCACACAGTCCATGTGATGGAAACTGGTTGCTGTGGCCCATAGAAATCTACATCTATCCTCGATTACGAATCAAAATGCAGATGCGTCCCGTGAGGCCTAGGATGGAATGCCTCGTTTCCATTAATAAGGGTCTTCGGTTCTCTACACTCATCATACGAAACCCAGCTGCGTTAAGCTGCTATTTTACGCTGGTATTCTGTGAGAGCGTGGTCCACACCCAGTCGAGCCGACCGTACTACAACTATACTACTAATATAGCTGTAGCATGGCTACCACGTAAAAAATCTACATAAATTACGGACTTATTGTGGTAGATGATGTTTTAATGTAAGTATTTAGACGACATTGTGATTATGAAATTCCATATTCCCATAAAAAGAGTGAAAATAAAAATCACTTTTAATAAAAAGTCAAAGCTATAACTTTGAGGAAAGAATAAATAAATAAATAAAATAGTTGCACATTCTAGTCGGGGCTTTAATTGTACTACAGACTATGTCTTAGCAACGAGAGTGTGTTAATTTTACATTTTAATTCTTTGAATTTAGCTTTTATTTTATATTAAAATTATTTAAAAAAAAACAATAATTGATATAACAAAATACAGTAAAATAAAAATTAATACCCATCGAAGCGAGAAGGTAATATTTAGTTTAATATACAGGGTTATATTGCAATAATCGGTCAAATTAGCAGAGAAGGTTCAGAATAAGTAATATAGGTAAATGTTAAAGAAAAGTTAATTTAAAAATGTCAAACATTCTGTCCTTTTTAACTTTTTAATTCAAACTGCGTGGTAATGAATTTTTTAAACTAATTTTACTGCGCACGCACACATTCGTAAGGGTTGATCGGTAGACAAAACAGTTTTTGCCTATAAATCATTTTAATTTGGGATGGTTTCATATAAAAGTAGAAGCCTAATTTACTTTATTTATATTATTTAGATATTTCTAGATTATTTGTATTTTCAAAAACTGCAATAACGTTATATCATTATTTTTAGTCAAATGCCTTTTGTACGCCGATGATCAAGTCATTCTTGCGTCGTCGGCGGCCGAGTTGCAAATGATGGTTACATTAATGAACGGATCATTAAAAGAAAGGGGTATGAAAGTGAACGCAAGTAAGACGAAGGTTATGGTTTTTGAAAGAGAAGAAAGTAAAACGATTTGTGAAATAAGAATAGAAGGGGAGTTGATCGAGCAAGTAGATGAGTTTGTATATTTGGGCTGCGTATTTAGCAGGGATGGGAGATATGATAAGGATATAGAACGACGAGTGAATGCGGGAAATAGAGTAAATGGGGCCTTGCACTCTATTGTGAAGAGTCAAAATGTGTCGAAAAAGGCACGTATGGCAATTCACAATGCTGTTTTGGTCCCTACTTTAACGTATGGTAGTGAAAGTTGGGTGTGGCAGAAGAAGCACGAGAGTAGAATAAACGCAGTAGAAATGCGGTCGTTAAGGAGTATGTTAGGGCTGAATCTGAATGACAGGGTAAAAAATTGTGTAATAAGAGAAGAGTGCGGTTTGCAAGATGATGTGACCAGGATTAAGAAAGGAATGCTTCGGTGGTTTGGTCATGTGGAAAGAATGAATGAGGAAAGAGTGACAAAGAAAATTTATGTTGCAGAAGTGAATGGCAGAGTCGGAAAGGGACGTCTTAGGCGAAAATTTATCGACCAAATTGGCGATTTATTGGAAACGGGCCAAATTAGGAGTACCCTTAACCGACGAGCATGTATGCGTAGGTGTATGGATGTGAAGGAGGCGAGAGAGGTGTGTCAGGATCGTGCCAAATGAAAATCTGTAGTCTCTGCCTACCCCTCTGGGTGACAGGCGTGAGTGTTTATGGATTTTATGGCATTATTTTTACATTTGAATTTAAGTTTGAATTTTTACAACTCTTTGAAAAATTTATGTATATATTTTCACTAAGGGACCTTCTATAAATGCCAACCTCAATTGCAAGCAATGTACGCCAACTAGCAAAAGCAGCTGATAAATTATTACAAACAAATAATTTTAACGCTGAGACCAAATCCCACGGATTTGTGATGAAATAACACATTTAAAATAATTACAGAATTAATAGGTACAGACAGATTAAGTGACTCATATTCACATTAAATATTGCTAGCGAGTGTTTAAAAATCATAAAATCTTGACCAGACAGGTGGCGCTGTGATGGAGTTATTAATACATATTAAATTTGAGCTCTATAAAGACCGTAGTAAATTCGGAGAGAAATTCATCGCGTCACCGTCACTATTAGCGCAGAAAAATGTCTAGCTATAGAAATAGATCTTTAATAGTATAAAGTAGCCAACATTTGTGCATGAATTAGAGTCACTAACACAATCACAACGTTGTGGTTGTGGCAATACTACCACGACGTTATGCTGAGTCTGTTTTATGCTACATCCTAAGATATTTATTGGAATGAAATACCTCGTAAATAAAATAAATTTTACTATAACAAATGCATAGAATTTACTTGTTAACGGAACGTCCCCTGCATGGCTCCCAGGAGTCGAGAAGTTGAAGGTCGTTGCTCAAAGTATAGCAGAGTCCTTGTCCAAACTGTGACTCGCCGGATTTACGAATATATCTGGAAAAAAAGGAAAATATTTTTAACTTTATCTGTGCGCGATACTAGATAAGTATTATACTGGAGGGAGAACGTGACCACTTAAGGTATATTCTATCCGGTTAAAGAATTACCATAATCATATTGGAAACCCACAGTATATAAGAATGCATATTTTGATTAGCTGTGATTGAAATTAAAACTGCTACCGCTGGTCCAGTGCGAGTCAGGGGATTTACCATGTCCTAGAGCCCTAGAGATATTAAGAATTTTTGATGCAAATGTACCAGGTAACCAGGTAAATTGTAAACCAGCGCTTAGAATTGCAAATAAACATTTCGTTTTTATATATACATTATATATTTCTATGAAAGTAAAGACAAATAAACAACTTATATTGAGCTACCAAGCCTTTATTCTATGCATAACGCATATGGTAAGTAAATCTGAAGTTTCAGTAATATATTAATTTTTTTTTTAATTTCAAGGCAGAGTACATTCAAACCTTCTCTCAAAAACTCATAAATATAGAATTATCGGAGTATATCACCGATGTAAATCTCGTCTATGATTATTTTAATAGGATACAGGTGACAAACAAGCACACAGTCCACTCAATGGTAAGTGGATGCTGTGGCCCATAGACATCTACATTTAACCTCGATTAAGAATCAAAATGCAAATGCGTTGTCACCCTTGAGGACTAACATGGAATGCCTCGATTCCAGTAAAACGGGTCTCCGTTTTTCTACACTCACCATATGAAACACAGCAGCATTAAGCTGCTATTTTACGCCGGTATTCTGTGAGAGCGTGGTATTTCGCCGGTCGTGCCGACTCATTCATGCTACAGTCACTATAGGTGCAGCGTTTCTCTACCACGTATAAAAAATAATAAATGATATCAAATAATTGAAAATCGCTCTTGCTTAATGTTTTTTTCTTAACAAAACTCACCTATGTGCACAAACAACAGCTTTTCGTCCTGGACCTTGACTACGAACGGAGACGCCCAGCCATTGTCCATCTTTGATTTCATCCTCATACGGGGCAGTAAGTGTATACGAGTCCAAAGCTAAACATCATAAAGTAATTTTTATTAAAATTTATAATGTCGCGAAATTAACGATACATATCAAAGCAAACTTTACTTTTTACTGCTATATTCTTTATGGCAAATAATGTCAAAAAAATTATATTGTTACATTGAGGAATATTTTCTATTCCTTTTCAAACAGAGTTAAGAATAAACAAAAAAAAAGCTTTTTAGACTCCAAATTAGGCACAATATTTTAAATAAAAACTGGTACATTTAATTACGTTATAAAATACACCCAAAATTATGTAAATTTTCAGAACAAATACAGCAAAAACATTTATAAAATTATACTCAAAATAATTCAAATAAAAGCAATTAAATAGAATGATATGAATACCGATTGTACCCTTAATAAATTAGTTGCGTTTGGTTTTGTAATTTCATACCCAGTTACAACCGATGTGGTGGTACCTCGGCGAATGCAAAGCGCTGCGAAAGGCGTGAATGATGCAAGATAAAAATGATTCCTTGCCATAGCGAAAGTAATAAAATCTTGCAGGATAATCAAAAAATTCAGTTTCACATTACGGAAACACCGTGCGAATGTAGTATAACTACTATTTCTCATAGAAAATACATGCATAACATATTTATATTATTATCATAAACCTACAAATAGGTGAAGATCTAAATCAATAAAGTGGTGATTATATAATCCGCATCCTGAAAACGCTCAATAAACAAACAGTGTACAATGACTTAAGTGTGGTCTCGGGTTAATAGACGTTATCGAAGACTACTTTATGTTAATTTCGAGCTGATACTGATACAAATTAATCAATGGCCGATCCTTTGTTCACCAGACTTACACCAAAATATTATTTTTTAATTTTAAATAATTATAGCATATTATTACCAAATGTGTTAATCGGCCCAGCGCTATTCATCAGTTTCTAAACCGCTAATTGTTAGACAAAAATGGTTACGCAACCAGATATAATTTGGTCTTTTCTCAATTGTTTATTATTGTTTAAAAACAAAAATGTGGCAATCAAGTTAAAAATATTTAATGTTCTACATGTTAAACAGTTATTTGTTAATTTTCCAGTCACCTTAAATGATTTCATTTTAGTGTTTCATCGTTTAACAATATTAATATGAAGTTGGTAAAATTAAGCAATTTTTCGCGTTTTTAAACACTATTTCTATCTACAAACATCTACCTTAAAAAGCTAAAAAAAAAAGAAAATTTTGTTGAAAAGTACTTAAGTGTAATCTCTTTTGATCAATTATATTTATTGCTTACTTGTACAACTGTGTTTTCCTATTATTTATACTTAAAAAATATTTATAGTTTTGTATGCTTAGCTCAAGCTTGTGAGTTTGTGGATTTTTGCAAGCGGTTAGTGTTTCATACCATTAGAATCAGGGTTCATTTTAGTCGCAATAGACTCATTCGAATACGATATATTGCGTGGCAGACTTGTATTGTAAAAAGGACAAGGTTCTTTGTTAAATAATCAACATAATATAATAAAACGAACCCTGAGTATTTTTAGTGATTACGTGATTTTTCTACGCAGTGTGAAATCTAAAAGTTAGTTTACGCATGCGTTGCAATTTACGTAACGAAAGTTCAGCTGGAACTTGGCAGACGAACTTCGGCTATTAGTAAAATAAAAAAATAAAAAACAGCGATTAGTCGTTATTAGTCGAGGAGCAAAATGATTAAATACAAAAGGGCTTGAGACCACAGCTCACTTACTCTTGTCTATCTTGCCGTACTTCGCTGTTTGGGGCACCACCGACAAAAGACAACATTTTAGTTAAAATTTAAACAAACTACTTTATTATATAATCGTACGATAAAAATTTCGTTCCAGCTTCTTATAACTACAATAAAATACGCTATCTATCAAAAAAAATTGCTGACTAAATTTAGAATCAACGTGATCTATGTGTGTACACACAACTTAAACTAAATCACAAGTGTGTTGAAGCTTAAAATTTCTAAATGCTAGGTTCTATGTGTTTCAAATACTACATTAGTACTAAATATGTACGGTAATGTTAAATATATTTATTGCTATTTTAAACTGTTATCTGACAAAATATCTCGCAATACTTTCTTAACATTATTCATAAAGCTATTGAATACTTTATTACATAATTTATGCATAATTGTAAACAACGATTCTGATACAGTTTTTCTTATCACTGGACGTCGAATATTGTGACATATCATACCTAATGAATGGTTCATAATGATATATGTTGTGAATGTTTGTATAAGTTTATCGATTAATCGATATTGACCCTAGCCGTATTAAACCACTAACCTTAATATTCCTCTAATAGAGAATTACTCACTCTTTCCGTCAGTGATGATTTGTTCGCAGTCTCTAACAGCAGGGGTCAAGCGGCATTTCCATAATGCGCCTGACCTAGTTGTGTTCGGCTGAAGGTTTTGACCCAAAGGCGCTCCTACCAGTAACCTGAAAGAAGACATTAAAACTGTGTCAAATTATATTGTCATTTTTTATTTAAATACATAATATATAAAATTTTAGTTTTTTATTTTATTTATTCTACCACACATTTATTATTACTGAAAATATGTTATTAAAACTACGAAGAACTGTAATCGGTAAAAGGATTAAAATAAAGACACACACAGAAATTTTTACAATATTTTACACTACAACACTTTTGTACTATGGTATGGTTATTGGTATGGTTAACAAGAAAAGAATTGACCGACATTAAGTCGGCCCTTTGTAATATTATGGTGGTAAAATTGAATAAATAGTTAAAAATAATGAGGATATTCATAATTCTTGTGGAAATATCATTACATCTATCTCACTTTATTGTTTTTGTGCCTTTCGCCCAACACACTATCCATTACTCGGCACCACTGAAGTGCGTTTTCACAAGTAATACAAGTAAGTAATAGTAAAGTTGCAACATTGATTTGTTTGAAAACTGTTTACAACAAAGTTGTGCTAGAATTATATACAAGTTCTAAAGAATAATTTCGTTACCATTACCGTTATAGTCTACTAATGTCCACTACTGAGTATAGGCCTCCCCCATTGATTGACTCATAGGGGGATAAAGATATTACTATTTAATTCGCAACCATCCGCTTAAATTGCTAATTTAATAGTAATATATTTATTATAATGAATTTCCGCAAAGTAACGCCTGATTCTATCAATTATTTCATAGGGGGATATAAATAATGTGGTGAGAATTAATAATAATACATATAAGTATAGTAACTTAACTTGCTTTAAACTGATATTTTTATAGGTATCATTATCATATATGCCCCCTCACTGGGGCACTGTGGCGCACGAGACAAATATTTGCTGCAGGCCTGACCGTTTCTACAATTTATGTATGTAAATGAAACATTGCTATATAGTAGACAAAATTACTTGTAAACATAAAAAAGAAAAAAATAATTCAGCATAGTTGTAATTCTTAACAACAAAGAGTTTTTAAGTATATTATTTATATAATGTACATTGAATACAAAAAGACATTTGATTCTGTCCCTAATAGCTGGTTAACTTATGTACTAAAACATAACAAAATTCATACCAGTCTGATTTCATTTTTAAATGCAGCCGTGCTTCATTGGAACACGGAACTAAAATTAATTAATAACAGTTCCTTAACTACCGAGCCAATAAAAATACGAAGAGGTTTATTTTAGGGAGACGCTCTTAGTCCGTTATGGTTTTCTTTTTGTTCTAAAGTCATTCAAAAATACAATTTATTCAAGTATTGCATCATTTTCCTTCATTTTCAATCGTATTTAAACATCTTATCCGATAGTACTAATGACGGAGACGAATACCTAATAATTAGTTACAATGTTATCCGTATATTCGAACAAATTGCGTATGCGTATCCGTAATTTGCAGGAATTTTATAGGCTATAATGGATGCTGAACTTCAATGGTTTTATAATCTATACATTTATACATATATGTAATATTTATAGTCAATACATTCCATAATACAATGTAAATGTTACAGTCAAAACTCATAACCGGTCTAAACCACTTTTGACTGCGAAAATCAGCCAAAAATGGATTTTTACAGATGCACTTAGTCAAAAACAGTTTTGACTGTTTTTTGTATTTAAAAGTGATTTTGACGAAACATTTTAGTTCAATAATTTCAATATTTCATTTTAATTTATTAAAAAATAATAATTTACTCGAATTTAGAGGGGCCTGAGGGCCACCCCAGTCGCACCTTAACCTATTATCACTGATATCGCAAGATTGATGTAATATTTTATTAGAGTCAAATAGCCTAATCATACGAGTAAGTACGAGAATATATAAAAAATATATATACCGCCCAAAAGTAGTTTTGACTAACATTCTGGTCAAAATAACTATTACCCAATATTTTTTTAGTTAATGGTGTTTTTGACCAAAGTTCTTAGTCAAAACTGCTTTCGATTGATTTTTGCAGTCAAAAGTGGTTTTTACCAGTCATAAGTTTTACTGTAAGTTATACAGGTAATAAGTTATACATTAAAATGAAAAATTGATAAAATAAATGGCCCGTGATGATTATAATATCAAAACCTAAAAAATGCCACAATAGTATATCAATAAATCTCATCCAGATGAAGATGTATTACATCACACTGCAATATTATATATGATTTTCTATAACGTGTCTAGATTGATATATAACCACGTATCCTTCACTTAGGTATCATTAAACATGAATTCAGAAAATCTCAATAAAATTTCATAACCACCAATATTCTTCGACTGTGGGATAACGATTTAAAAATCTTACTAGGTCTACAATATTTCAAGTTTTAAACAATCATCTGCCTACCTAACGTAAATATAACGTTAAAGCGATGGTAGCCTAATGGCAGGGCGCGTACCGCGAACTCAAAAAGGTCGTGGGTTCGAATCCGCGATTCGACTACTGGCGTGAACCACTCGTAACACTAGCAATTAAAGCTTACCACGAGTGGTTAAGGGAAATATTAGTAATGTTTATAGCATTGTTAATATTCTTGTTACAATTATTAATCAAATAACGTCTTGCTTTAAATATGGCATTAAAGTTAAAAACAATACCTCTTAATTTCAATTTCATAACAACTAAATAATGACGTTTGAAAGTAAACATAGTTATGATAACATGAAACAGCGTAGTTTCAAAAGCTCTTTCACAATGAGCGGTAATGAAGCGGATATCGTTATGTCGAGCCCTTTATTATAGCGTAATGTCCCATGATAATGATAATGTTAGGGTACGCGATACTAATCTTCTCCATCTTTGTACGAAATTCTTGTTATTAACGCAGTCTGTACAACGTCCTTTAGATGTTCTTTTTTATAACATTACAGTGACAAGAGAGCTAACAGACCACCTGATGGGTTTTTTTTTTATAAAACGAGGCTGACAAACGAGCACATAGTCCAATTGACGGTAAGTGGATGCCAGGCCTATAAGCATCATGTAACCTCGATTCAGATTCAAAATGCAGATGCGTTGTCACCCCTGAGGACTAAGATGGAATGAGTCATTTCCCGTAAAAAGGCTCTCCGGTTCTCTCACCATACGAAACACAGCATTAAGCTGCTATTTTACGCTGGTATTCTGTAAGGGCGTGGTCTTACCACGGTAAAGCCGACCCATCGATGCCACAAGCTACAACCATAATATAGCTGCAGCGCGACTCTACCACGTATAATGGCAAATATAACGTAACGTATAAATATGATAAGCGGCTATTGCATTGACGTCTGTAACTTGCATCCTTAGACCACTCATTGAATGATCTAAGGATAGAAGGTGTTAATTATGTTACTTATTAGTACTTAAAGAAATCTAACTTCTGAAGTCTGTGCTACGGCATATACCGAATAAAGTCTAACTTCAGTAGCTATTATGTGAATTTTTTTTTCCGGTTCTTACAATTAAAATATTTTTGGTAGAGTCATGCGGCAGTTATATTAGTAGTATAGTTGCAGCACGAATGGGTCGGCACGACCGGGGAGGAACCACGCTCTCACAGAATACCAGTGAAAAATAATAGCTTAATGCTGCTGTGTTTCGTATGGTGAGTGTAGATAATTGGAGACGCTTTTGATTGGAAACGAGGCATTCCATCTTAGTCCCTACGGGAGACAACGCATCTGCATTTTGATAGATGTAGATGTCTATGGGCCACAGCAACCACTTACCATTAGGTGGACTGTGTGCTCGTTTGTCACGCCCTATCCTATAAAAAAATTATTAAAAGTTTAATTTTTGTTTACTGTTTTGAATAGACAAATCATTGTGATATACATGCTTTAAGTAACAACTATTGTTATTTAAATAGTTACAATAAAACTTTATTTCCTATTTTTTTCATAGGTGTGGAATTCTTATCTATAAACTGTCTTTTATTGAGCTCAGAGGGTTGTTTATTTGTAATTCAGACGCGAAGAACCATTTTAATGTTCTTTCTTATCTGTCTGTCCGTCCATCTGTCTCAGTCCCGGCGAATCTTCGGGATGGCTGATCCTATTGTGATGAAACTCCAAGAACAGATAGATAAGAATGACACAATTACCAGGAATAATCTAGGCAATATTTTACCTTAAAACTTTTTACATGAAATAGAAATTTTAAAATTATTATCTTAAACATAAATGACGCCATATTAATAAATCCAAGCCAAGCGAAGCCGGGATCAGTCGCGCTAATTTCAAATGTTTATTTAGAAAACCGTCCGCAATTTCTTTAATTTATAAATATAAACCTACTCAATCTACTTTGGCTGTGCGTAGGTGGCCTGTGTGTTCGTTTATCCTTATATCTTAAAAAAAATTAACCGTACCTAAACCGTACATATAATAGAATACTTTGTATTTACGTGAGTGACCTCTTTGCATAAAGGCATTGAGTATACAATATACTGACCTTTTCCTGAGTTTTGTTAGAATACGTTTTCGACGAAAGTTTTTAGAAATGATTGTGTTGTGTAATATATGAATTCAAAACTTTATTTTTAGTTAACTTTATTCATATTCAACACATACATTAGAATCACAAGTAAACTATAGCAAGCTAATTAAACTGATCTGACTATAGAGCAAAAGGAGCTCTAATTTTACAAAAAAATCTAAATATTTTCAGCGATGTAAGTAAGGATCTATTGTGTCATTTATAAGTATTTTATCCTATCTTCATCATCATCGTCATCATTATTACAGCTCCTCATAAATCCACCGCTGAACTGAGGTTTTCTTACAGGATAAGAGTGACAAACGAGCACACAGTCCACATGATGGTAAGTGGATGCTATGGCCCATTGGCATCTACATTTATCCTCGATTAAGAATCAAAACGCAGATGCGTTGTCATCCTTGAGGACTAAGATGGAATTCCTCGTTTCCAGTAAAAAAGGATCCCCGGATTGAGATCCGTATGTATCCGATGTAGATACATTGACCACACGAAACACAG